CCCCCCCCCAAAAAAAACATTCCTTCTGCCTCTTCCTGCACACCACGAGTAATCTGCCATTTTGCCCCAAACTGTCACCCTGATGCTGCAGCCCCTCACCTCTGGCTCTGGCCATGCTGTCTGTGCAGCTGGTGCTGGCTGAGGGGATTGGCTCAGGAAAGTAAACACCACAGAGGACCTAATTTTTAAACTAAGACTTTTAGCTTTCATGAAGCTTTCAGCGGAAGTGTTGGGTGTAATCGAATTGTTGTTTAAAATATGTGTCAAGACTTGACTGACTTTCCAGACAAGTGGCACTGTTAGGGATTTACTTTGCAAGGTGCCAAAAGCATAATTTCAGAGTGTTACTTGCTACCCAGTACTTATCTTAAAGCTTTAACACAAATACTTGGCAAACTGTTATCTTGAGCTGCTCCACAATTTATGTTACTAATTTAATGGTGTTTACTGTAGCTCTAGCACTCTTGACTGTGTAGGGCCTTTTTCATTACATTATGTTTTGCTTCTTGTCTGAATCCCAGTTTTAATACCCTCACTATCGCAACCTGCCATGGCTCTTTGCTGGCCACCTTCTGACCATGCTACTGCAGTTCCTAGATCCGGACCAAAGCCTGGCAAGAAACTGCCATGGATTTAATTCCATCAAGATGCTCACTTGTAAGTGAGGTAAATACGATGCTGAAAGATATGACTACTTAGATGTGACAGTGTAAACTGTTTGCCTCCTCCTCTCAGCAGGACCCATTGTCAGAAGCTCCTCTGATACAAGGAGGAACCTTCCCACACGTAGGGCAGGCACCTCTGCATACTTTGACCTCTTGAGCAATTGCTGCTTTAAGTTTTCTTGGGGATTGTCTTGCTTGCGTCTTGGTTATGGTTTTAGCATATTCTTTGGGTCTGAAAACTGGCAGAGTGTTTTAAGGTGAAATATCCTTTCCAGCAGCTGGCTCCCTACTTTGTTATTTACAGCTATTGCTGTGATTTTCTTTGCTCACCATAATTTAGGGAGGACGCTTTCTTCAAAAAATGTGCAGTCAGTTTCTGGGCATTATGTGCTATACAGTCAAAATACATGATTGCTGGGAGCAACATATTCTTGGAAAAACAAACAGAAGATTGAGAAAAAAGCCATGTCAAACAGTTAAGGCGGCCTCGAGATCTCCAGTCAAATCTGGTAATACAGAGATCTGCCCTCCCTTTCAAATGCAAAGCAGCTCTTAACTGTCCATTTGGTAGAGGCTATATGCTGTTTACTGATCTTTTCCCTGCGAGGTGAGTGTCCCTGTCATGCAGCAGTAGTGGTATGAAGGATGTATGGAGGGTTTCCTGAGGGAGAACAACAACAGAGAGGGCATCTGTGAACCGGTATTGCAGCAGGATGGAGAACAATGAGTCCTGCAACCTGCATGTCATAAAATAGGGTTTGGACTGAGAAGCTGGGCAGAGTATCAAGCCTGGAGAATGTCGCAGATGTCTGTGGCTGCCCTGTGCAAGCGTGGTACTGAAAATACTCTCTCTGATAACATGAGGTGGGACATGCTGTGCACAGCATGCCAGTAGTAAGAGCTGTTTTGCACCAAATGAGCATCTCAGAGTAGCCATTTCTTTGCTGGCCACTTCCTTACTGCTTTATTATGTGCCCTGTCAGAGGACTGCTATGGGAAACATGTTATTTGTGCAATTCACAGGGCATCTTTTCCAAGTAGTTACCTTGGAATGTGATTTGACTTCTAAGAAAGTATTCCCATGGCCCTCAGTAGGTTTATCTATTTGTTGCCATTTCTGAGAAGCTGTAGCATCTTCTAAAGGCAAGGTTGCCCACCCCGTTAGGGCACAAAAGCATTGGGCATAAATACTAATAAATTGAAATCCATGGCACAGACAAGTCCCTTAGACAAATCCCTTCAGATGTCCTGCAACAACATAAAAGCCTAGGTAATAGTATATTAATAATATAATTTATGTACATTTTTCTTAACAACGTATGGAGAGAAATAACTTTGCAACATACCCTATGTCTACATATGCATATATGTTTTTTCTACATGAATTATTTCTGCTTAATGAAACCTTGAAGCTACAGGCAGCTATTTCTTAGGGATCCTCTGCATTGTAGTTTAATGATTATTCCAGCTTATCAAAAAAAGTCACAATGACCTTTTGTTGCTGCATTTTGTACCTCTGTTGGCTCAATGAATGTCCGCTTGGAACACACTATGAGATCAGAGTATTTGGGAATAAATGACCTTTGTGTGGTGGGGTAATAAAGGGCTACATTTGCAATAAAATGGACGATCTTGAGCCTTCTGAGAATCAGCGCCTCAGCAGAGGCTCTAAGGCAAAGGCAATCCCCTCAGAAGACTGAGGGGGGTTTTTTGGAAGCCACTTCACATCTTCAAAGTTGCCCTGGTGCCCTCCAACATGAGCATTCATGATTTCCCAGAAGCATTCATGGCATTTGAGGAAAAGTTCAAGTGATAAAGGTGCTCAGCACAGACATTGTCCTGCTCTTGTCAAAACGACACTGCCGTACCAGTGGGCGTGACATCTGCTCTGCTGCACATCAAGTGGCACGTGGAGGCTCCTTGAGAAATGTCTTTGCATTCTGAAAGTTCACAAGTGACCACAGCTATTGCTCACTGTTCTCCTTTCCAGTATGCAGCTCCTGGAGCTCGGTGGCTGGAATGGCTGTGAGACAGACAATGTGGTTGTTTGCTGAGAACACATGTAAAACCCCTGAGTCCAGGAGAAACAGGGAATACTCGTCAGAGCTGGTCAATTAAAAAGAAATAAAAATAAAATAGAAATAAATATTCCTGGTGTTTTTTGTTGTTGTTGTTGTTTGTTTTTTTTTTAATAAAATACTAGAAAAGAGATCCTGGTGCTTTTTCAGACCCAGAGTTCTGCACACAGCTGTGTGAGGACACCAGACACAGCATTTGCTGAAAGCAGGTTGTGTAGCCCTCAAGAGTTTGGAGGTAAATTTGGGGAATCCAACAATGTATTTCAGAATCCAGAGGACTAATGAAAAGAGCTCTGAAATAATTGATTTTAAGCCTGTCATGTCCCTCCTCAATCAACCTGATGCAGCAAGGAAGGCAGCTTAAAAGAATAATTTTTAAGGATGCCTTAAGCATATGCTCTTAATGATATGCATTATATTTAATTGTAGTCTGTGACAGGTGTTTAGACCTCTTCTTCGCTCACAAATGCTGCGTGTGTGGTTTTTTTGTTGCTTTTCCTTAAGTGGAGCATTGCTGCTTGAGCAGATGATGTGTCCTGCCTCCTCCATGTTCTTGACATTCATTCTTTGCTACACACTGTCACACATCTGCTCTCTTTTGCAGGGGTTACTTAGTCCCAGTTCACCTTCACGTGGTGAGCACTCTTTATTTTAAATGAGAGGTATTGCAGGGGAATAATCATTACTGCTTTTTTTCCCAGCAAGCACAGTCTTTTCAACAAAAATGGCAGCTTATTCAAATTTAGCCTTAATATATGCTAGGCTGCAGTATGTAATTGCTCACCCTGCTTTCTCATGCAGAGGAAAGATTCAAAAAGTCTCATAAGTAGATTGCAGACTCAGTGCTGAGCTTCCTCCCAGGCAGCTAATGGGTTTGGGGTTGCTCTCTGTCAGATTAGAGTCTTTTTATGACACCATTATTTTTCTGCCAGTTTGACTTGAACCCAAGTGTCAGGCAGGGCTGGGAACTGCTCATCTCAGGAAACTTCCAGGAAAATAAACCCAAGTGTGTGCTTCCACATGTCTTGCTGGAATGTTTACACAACCAGTGGCTATTTGTTACTGTATGATGCAGCCTGTCACATTTTTTACTTTTAAGACCCATTTTTTGGGGGTAGCATTTACATTTAGACTGGGGCTCTCCCGTAAACAGGGAATTAAACTTCAGTTTTTAGGGCATGACTTGTCATAACTCTCTCACACGTCTGCACAGCCCTGCTGAAATGTCTCCAAGTAAAAAGGGAATGGTTATATATTCTATCCTCTTTCTCTGCTTTGGACACTTCCGGGCCACTTGTCACTAAAATGAGCTGGAAAAGCAGCTTATCCGGAGAGAACTAGGCAAGTCCTTGGAGAGCCTCCTCTTTCCTATGCTATTGGGAGCCAAGCTCACCCCATTTATTGTATTTATGTAAAAGGCATTAAGGATTGTTAGTTACATGTCTGTTTGGTCTAGACTGTGCTCTGGTTATCTGTGCCTTAGTAGCTTCACCGGACACCCATATTTGCACAATCCAGTGGTTACTCTGAGAGCAAATTAATTGGTTTTCTGCCAAAGCCCTGACCTCCTGTGATTGATTGACCTGGCGAATGGCCCTCTGCTGACAACGGGGTATAAAAAAGGGACATCTGAGGAAATGAGTGTCATTAGACTCCGAACTGCTTGGAGCCATGAGGGTGATACTCTTGGCTGTGGTTTACATCCCATTGGCCATGGCCATGGAACGGTAAGAATATGTGCCTAGTATTGTTGGCATGTGTCTCAGCTGGCTGCCTGGGTGACCCATGCTTGCTTACCTGAGGCCTCAAAGAACAAACAATTTTTTACAAAAAGATTATATGAGAAGTCTAAAGAGACTTCAGTCCAGAGATCAAATTAATTTTTGCGTGTTCATTTTCTTTGTGTAGAATCCCTCTCACTCGATTCAAATCTATCAAGAAAAAGCTGAAAGAAAAGGGACAATTAGAGGAATTCTGGAGGAATCACTACCCGGACGTTTTTGCCCGGAGGTACCTGCATTGTTTCCCTGCAGATATTGCTTTGTCTGTAGGAACTGCCTCAGAAAGGCTGTATGATTACATGAATGTAAGTACAGTTTTCGTGGTGCAATCACAAGGGCTTGCTGTTCTCTTGAAGGCAGTTTTTTTTTTCCCCAGCAAATTTGAAATCTAGTCTCTCAATGAAGTTATGAGGCTTGAGATGGCTTGTTGCTCTATACTATAAATACTAGATCATAAGAAATTAGTTTAGCTGTCTGCAAAATAAAACCTGTATGTGTCCTGGTTTGGGCCAGGATAAATCCAATGTTAACTATGACAGTATGGATCTAGGTTAACCTGGGTGGCACCCAGGTAGAAAGCTGAGCAGTGGCAGTCCTGGGACAAGTCTTTTGTATAGGTGTGTATTGGACTTGGTTGGACTCCAAGCAAATATGGAAGGTCTGCCTCTACCTATCTTGGTTCAGGACTGGGCTTTTAGTAGCAGAATCCTATTACTTCATTAAGGTAGATTCTATGTATCAGGAACAGTTTTGTGGGGGTTTTGGTGTGGTGTGTTCATGGGGAGGGATTGGGTTGGGTGTTTTTTTTGACCAACATGATTTAGAGCTGCCACACTTTACAGATTAATCAGTAAAGGTTTGTTTAATAAGGGAAGGAATAAAATCCTGCTGTACAGCTGGATATTCTCTTAGAGAGCATGCTTGCTTGCCTTTTCATGATCTCTTCCTTCAGAATACAAACTCTGGGGCCAGAAACTATTCAGTGTAGTAATTAACAAGTATGCACTTGAAGATACATATTCAAATATTTGTATTGCTACAAAAGGCTTGGCACTAGATATTGCTTATCTATCTGAGCTTGAATTCCAGAAATGCTTTTTCCTAAAAATAGGTCTCTTAATGCTGAAGTGCTCTTCCAGGGCCAGATAGGAGCACTTAGACACTTGCATTCGGGATGTGGATAAGCTCTTCGCTCCAGCATTCAAGTGTTCACAGATTATATCTAGCCTCAACTTGTATCCAAGGACGGTCAGTGGTTTTTTTATCCACCAGATGAACTTCGTTCAGTACATTATACACAGTCTCTGACAGAATTAACAGAATTAACAGAATTAATTTTTTAACTTGATAATAGCTGTTAATTGCTAAGGAAAAACTCCCAGCCACTTGTAACAGCAGCTGTGCCGCCGCTCAGAGCCCTCTGATGCTGGCAGAGGTGGGTCATGCTGTCTTTGCATCACTGATGTGAAATCACCCACTATAGTGAATGGAGTTAAATCCCCCTGTTGGCTGGTCATAAATGGTGTTCCCCAGAGTTCAGTGTTGGGGCCAGTTTTGTTGAATATCTTTATCAATAACCTGGATGAGAGGATCAAGTGCACCTTCAGTAAGTTTGCAGATGACACCAATTGGGTAGGAGTGTTGATCTGCCTGAGGGTAGGAAGGCTCTGTGGAGGGACCTGGACAGGCGGGAGGCCAATTGTGTGAGGTTCAACAAGGTCAAGTGCCAGGTCCTGTACTTGGGTCACAACAATCCCAGGCAATGCTACAGGCCTGGGGAAGAGTGGCTGGAAAGCTGTCTGGTAGAAAAAGACCTGGGGGTGCTGGATGACAGGTGGATGAACATGAGCCATCAGTGTGCTCAGGTGGCCAAGAAGGCCAATGGCATCCTGGCCTGTATCAGAAATAGGGTGGTCAGCAGGATGAGGGAAGAAATTGTTCCCCTGTACTCGGCACTGGTGAGGCTGCACCTCAAATACTGTGTTCAGATTTGGGCCCCTCACTACAAGAGAGACACTGAGGTGCTGAAGCAAGTCTAAAGGGCAATGAAGCTGGTGAAGGGTCTGGAGAACACGTTTTATGAGGAGTGTCTGAGGGAACTGGGGCTGTTTAACCTTGAGAAAAGGAGGCTGAGGGGAGACCTCATTGCTCTCTACAACTACCTGAAAGGAGATCACAGTGAGGTGAGGGTTGGTCTTTTCTCCCTGGTAACAAGCAACAGGACAAAACAGCCTCAAGTTGTACCAGGGGACGTTTAGATTGGATATCAGGAAAAATTTCTTCACCAAAAGGGTTGTCAGGCACTGGCACAGGCTGCCCATGGAGGTGGTTGAATCAGGGACATGGTTTAGTGGTGGACTTGTTAGTGCTAGGTTAACTGTTGGAAGTGATGATCTTAAAGGTCTTCTCCAACCTACACAATTCTATGATTTCTTACTGACATCAGCAGAATTGCCTGAAAGCCTGTGTGGTTGTGTGAGAGCTTCATTGTGGGGCTGACCTTGCCACCACTGACGTGGATGCAAGAGGGCTCATTGACTTCATGGGGAATGTGACCAACCATTTGCTTAAAAAGCTTTAAAAATGCTGCACCTGGAGTGAAATCTGCTGCCTGCAGCCACTTATGGAGCCAGACACACTCCCCTGCGGTGTGCATGTATGTTTGGATGCAACTGCACCAAACGCCCTGAGAAAGCCTTGTGTGGTGCTCCCAAGTCTCCTTTTCCCTCAGGAATAGCTCCCTGGGAGGCAGGCCGGGGCTGACCAGGTCGTTCCTCCCCCAGGCACAGTACTACGGCGTTGTGAGCGTGGGGACACCGCCACAGACCTTCACCGTCGTCTTCGACACCGGCTCCTCCAATTTTTGGGTCCCTTCTGCTTACTGCGTCAGCGAAGCGTGCCGTAAGAAACAGCACCCTCCCTTAATGCTCCTCGTGCCTCGGGTGCCTTGGCCATGTCTCCTTTCCCAAGGAACTTGCCTGCAGTGGGGATATGGGCGGGGAGGATTTGAAGCACCCTTGAGGGTGGGCACTGGCTGTAGCTGCCAAAGGTACCTCTGCATGACAGGGTGCCCGATGTAAATGGCATGAAAATAAGACCAAGAGACCTACAAAGAGCAGTGGAAATGCCCATTTTTCTATCAATTTGCCATTATAACCCAAAATAATGTCTGGGGTTTGGAAAAACAGGGGTGCCTGTGGGTTAATGGGCAACTGTCAATGCCTTCCTCATAAGAGAAGGCAAAACCTGCTTTGCCTGCTTCTCTGCTGGCTCTGCACTGGGGAGCCGGCGCTGTCCCAAGGCCCCCCCTTGGTCCACAGGCATAATTTGTTTTATGTAGGGATGCACCAGAAATTTAAGTCCTTTCAGTCGGATTCGTATGAGCACGGAGGGAAAGCTTTCTCCTTGCAGTACGGCACGGGGCAGCTTCTGGGCGTTGCTGGCAAAGACACACTGCAGGTGAGTCCCCACCCAACACGGGTGTCAGCCTCCAGGTCAACTGTTTTCAGGGCAGCTCAGATACTGGCCTTGCCCTGGAAGACACTGCCTGGTTCAGGCAAGGACAGGGCGAGGTCCCACCAAGCCGGCTGCTGAGAAGTGTGGCTGCTGCCTGGTCTTTGGGCTACCCAGATAAACCCCTAAGATTTGCGTTTCTGCTTCTTTCCTTGGGTTCTGTCCTGGGCTGGTGAAGAAACATCCACAGAAATAAGGTATTAAAAGCAATCAATGGAGCCTACCCACCAAATGGGCACCTTCTCTGTTGATGGGAGTCACACAAGGGTATCCAGGCTTTGTAAAGGGAATTAATCCATTTATATGGACCTGAAATGTGGTCAATTTCTTGTAACTGATGGTGTCTTTCATTTGTACCAAACAGATAAGTAACATCTCCATCAAGGGACAGGATTTTGGCGAGTCAGTATTTGAACCTGGAATAACCTTTGCCCTTGCCCATTTTGATGGTGTGCTGGGTTTGGGATACCCTTCCCTAGCAGTGGGCAATGCTCTGCCTGTGTTTGACAGCATCATGAACCAGCAGCTGGTAGAGGAGCCAATCTTCTCTTTCTATCTGAAAAGGTCAGTCTTTAAAATTATACTGCCAAAAAAGACACAAACCTATTGTAACGGTTGAGACAACCATGCACCTGTATAAATCTTCAGTTCTAGAAAGTAATTTCCTCCCCCCCTGATTTTTTAAAAATTTATTTCAATTTAACACTGAAAAATATGGAGTGAAAAGGAAAAATACACTGGAGAGGACCATGAAATTTTGGACAGAGTGTTACTCTTGTTGGAGCTGTGCATAAACAAAAGAAAAGCTCCCAGCTCAGGCTCATCAGGGCTGAGTTGTCCAGTGTTTCCCTCTGGCCAGTGGAGATGAAGAGAAATGCTGCACTGCCACCAAGTAGCCCCTTTCTCTGAAAAGAACTGTTACTTCATCTGGAGCTAGCTGTAACTCCACCAATTTATCTAGTGTTTATTCTGAGGTGAGAACATGAACTGGCTCCACCTGGCTCCTGATGCCTATCTTAGCCCTTGGCAGCCTACACTGAGCCTTCTCAGAGGTTGTCTGGAGGCTCTGGGTCAAGACATACGCCATTATAACCCAGAAATCATCCCTCCAGCCATCTATATCTAAACTTAGAAAGGGCTGTGGTTTATCTTTTGCTTTTCAAGTGTAATCTCAATGGCACGTGCTGGCACATTCCCATGTCTGTGTTAACCTGTCTTCTGCTTTCAGAGGAGATGACACTGAGAATGGTGGTGAGTTGATTCTGGGGGGCATAGACCATTCTCGCTACAAAGGTTCAATCCACTGGGTCCCAGTCACTGAGAAAAGCTACTGGCAAATACACCTGAACAAGTATGTATGTATGTATGTCTGTATGTCTGTATGTATGTATGTATGTATGAAATACTCGGTGGAATTCATCTCTTCAGGTAAACCCCACAGAGACAGAAACACTTGGCGATATAAGTGTAGGAGACTGCCTCTCCTGTGTTTTACCCTTGTGTCTTTCAAAAAGGAGGTTTGCCAGGATGAGACCCGGGGGTTTATTAGCTCTCTAAATCTTCTGTGACATGGCTAGCAGGTTTCTGGGAGAGCATGTTAATATGTTTTAATATGATACGCCAATGGTCATGTTGACTCTTGATGGACTATTCAGGTTAAGGCACCCAGGAACTCAATCTGGCTCCAGGTCCTGCTTTCATCTTTCCTTTTAACCTTTGTCAAAGTTGTAATTGTCCCTTCAGTCTTTCTCCCACTGCAGAAATCAATGAGGACACATACTTCTGGGTGAGAACAAATTCATCAGCAGGCAAAAAATGATTAGGGCTGTAGGAGTTCTGAGAGAGAGGAGTGGGTCCACAAATGAGAAGTCTTCCTCATGCTCTTTCCTTTTTTTACTTTCTTGTCCTTTAAAGACATTTTTTGAAGACTGGGAGAGCTTGGCAGCTAGTTTTAACTCCAGACAGTACTCTGGTATTTTAACTAGCAATAATATGTTTCTTCAGTCAGAACGTGTATCAGTTTACTTAGAGGTGCTTTGTTTTCAATTGCAGCATAAAGATCCAGGGCAGGGTGGCACTTTGCTCTCATGGCTGCGAAGCCATCGTTGACTCAGGCACTTCTCTTATCACTGGCCCCTCTTCAGAAATCAGGCGGTTACAGGAGCGTATTGGGGCAAGTCCATCACATATGGGAGAGGTAAGAACTATACAGCCAGAAAACAGCCAGAGAGGAAGAGAAACTGCTATTCAGTGCAAAGAGCTTATAGGGTGGGAAAATAACTGAAATAATTTCTCAGAGTCTGTCTCAGCAAAAGTCTTGTTTCCAGGACAGCACCTGAACTCAAAGCCATGCTGGTTTAGACCTGTCTGCCATGCTGTCCCAGCCCTCCTCCCACATCACAGAATCACAGATTCATTCTGGTTGGAAAAGACCTATAAGATTATCACGTGCAACCATAACCTAACTCTACCAAACCCAGTGCTTAAGCCATGTTCCTAAGCACCACATTTACATGTCTCTTAAACACCTCCAGGGCAGCCTGTTCCAGTGTTTAATTACCCTTTCAGTGAAATGTCCATCTCCTCTCCTATAGTCATCAGTACTGTGTGTAAGGAAATAATGGGGACATCAGTTTGAAGAACTGATCCATATTCTACATCCAAGATAATTTTCTTTCGGTGTCACAGTTTGACCAGGACATTTCCAAGTCCCTGGCTATAGGTGTCATCTTGTCACATTTGGTGCTGATGGCCAGCCCCATCAGCATCAAACAGAAAGGGAAAGGCTCTGTAATTGCAGTCTCACAGTGGCTCCACTGCCAGGACGTCTCACTCCAGCTTGCAGCAGAGCAGGCAGTGTTGTGCTGGGGCCCCTGGAAAGGACACACATCTATGATGGTTCCAGTGCTGGTTCCTGGCAGTTCCTCTGTCTCCTCTCTGGTTTTCCTTTCTTCATTGCTGCACTCTCCTGCATCCCCCTTTTTGACATTCCCCACTGCTCCTCCCCGATCCTGCCTGCCATCTGAGGAAAACCTCCATCCACCTCCTCCAGTGGACCAAAACAGCCTAGGTGTGTGGCTTCATGGCCTCCCTGGCCACACACCTGCTGTCCCCAGTCCCCTGTGCCCCTCCAGGAAACCTGTGTGAGCTGAGGTTGCTCAAGGTAGGTTAGGTTTTCCTACTGCCTCTCCTGCAGGCTGGCTTACCTCTTTGCTATGCCAGTGTCTCACTGGCAATTTTCAGATGGCATGACCTAAACCTTGTAACATCTAAAGAGCTGAGATAACAAGTATGACACCCCTAAACCCACCTGCCTCCTGGGAGACAGCAGCTTAATTTCACTATGCCTTATTGCTGGCCCTTGGCTGACTCCCAGAGGTACTACCACACCACCCCAGCTCCAGTGTAAAGCTGCCATGTATGGTTGCTGCTGACTTGATAGTTGTCTTGATGCTGACACCAAACTGCCCTTTGAAGAAAATTAAGTGTTGCAGTTGCCCAGTGCACAGAGCAAAGATCAAAGTCAAAAGTGGACTTTTAATCTGCCTCCGCTTGTAAGAGGAGCAATTGGAGTTGCATCTGTGTAAATTGTGAAGCTTCTGATTCTTTCTCAATTAAACCTTGAACTTTGCTTTTATTCAAATTTTCAGATACATGTCAAACAGTGTGTTTTGATAGTAAGTTGGTTTTATAATGGTGCACACTAATGGATAATATATATATATTTCAAATACACTTATACTAGTGAACAAGAAATATGTCATTGTGTAAGTTTATATACTCCAGTGCTAACACAAGAGCACTCAACCAGCATCTCAGGTTCTGCAAAAAAGTAACCTGAAAATGACTGTTCTTGTAATAACCACAGACAGACTGAGACAACATGGCTCAAATTTATCCCAGAATAAGTGGATGCATCCACTTGCATCCAAAATGCACACATTTTGCCAGAACTTGTATCTCTCTCCAGCAAGAATTAATATGTTCTGGACATACTATGTAAATTAATTATGTCTTGCTTCTCATATCCTACAAACCATTATACTGGCTTTTTTACTCCTGCCTTCTGTATCCCATAGTTTGTTTTGTTCTAGTGGTGTGACATTTGGTAAGTACACACGAGATTTAGTTTTCATAAAACAGAGTTAACAACAACAACAAAAGTAGATTCTTCCCTATAGGAAGACTCTAAAACAATGATTTTAAATAAGAAAGTTTACAGCAAAGGTCCCTCTGGGGCCTGGAACATTCTGCAGCGCTATTTAACAAGCCAATTGTTTAATGAAGTAACTAGAAAAGCCAGGAAATGATCTGGTGTATTACTGTAAGTGAATGTATTATTTATGGACATGAATGGCCATGCCAGAGTTTAGTTCTTCTTCTGCTCTTTAAATCCCACTCCAGAGTATGAAGTGCTGTTTTCCTCACCAGCTTCCTTGTCCCCTAAAACAATAATGTTACAGCAGGGAGCAGGATGAGCTGCAGCCACAGGGCTCTCCCTGTGTCTCCCTCCACTCAGTCCCAGCCAGAGCATCAAGGACTTTTGCTGAGCAAACCTGGCTAATGTGGGTTCACTGAGGCTCTGTTCTGCTTCTGAGTTGTACTGGAGGGAGGTGAGAGTGCTCCTTCACCTTGTCCTTTTTGGGGCTTGTGAGGATTTCCATCAGCCCTGGGTCCCCAGGGGCTTGGGTGCAGCGGTCTGGGCTGTTGGGCTGGTTTGACCCAGGGCAGCAGCCGGAAAGCTGGAGGGCAGTGTTGGGCCATAAGTTGGCCTGCTGGTGTTCCGCTGTAGTAAATTCAGTATTACCTGCTGCAAAAGTATTGAATTCACAGTGCAGTTCTGAAAAAAAAGCTGACCCATCCCATCTGAATTGGTGCATCCCATACAGTTTCTTGTAGACTGCAGAAGACTGTCCAGCTTGCCTCACATCACCTTCACAATCGGACACCACGAATACAAGCTGACAGCAGAGCAATACGTTGTGAAGGTGTGTATCCCCAGCCTCCCTGCTCCCCTGTCCCCGAGCCAGGGATGGAGCTGGTGGCCACAAGGACACGTGCCTTCCCTTTCAGGAGTCTATTGAAGACCAGACCTTCTGCATCAGTGGCTTTCAGCCTCTGGACATCCCCACCCGCTCTGGCCCGCTCTGGATTTTAGGAGATGTCTTTATGTCTGCATTTTACTGCATTTTTGACCGTGGGAATGACAGAGTGGGATTTGCAAAAGCTGTTCATAGGAAGGATTACTACTGAGTTGTAGAAGTGTTTATACTGCCTTGACCCAAATGTTAAGGTAATGATCTTCAGCATACCTGTGAAGAAGGGCTTTAGCTGAAACTCTAGACCTAAATGAAGTCATGTTTGGGCTTTGGGGTGATCCTTGTCCTGAATTATCTCTTTGGTTCAATCTCTGCATGTTTACAACTGAGAAACAATTTTTCCTGAGTAACTGATGGAAACTACAGCTCCCAGGAGGAAGCAAAAACAGCTCAGCACTCAGATTTTCAGAAAAGCAGGAAGGGTAGAAAAGCTGACCAGTGCCAGGCTGACAAGATAGCAATTTTGAGTGGAGGGAACTTAGCCCAGTCTCATCCTGTCTGGGTATCCTTTTTTCTTCTCATGTGCTGGTTCCCACCTCATTTGCTGTTGCTTTCCTTTTCCTCACTATTTCCCATGGTTGGGGTTTTGTCCAATCTCATTTGCTTTGTGCTTCTCATGTTCTCCTTTTATAGGCTCGCTACAACCAATTTAGACAGAGAGGAATTTGACTGATGCCTGTGTGGCTACTGATTTCTACTACTTGGTCCTTGCACACAATTTCTGCTCCTGATGCCATCTCTCAAACCTTTTTTTTCCCTTGGGTCACTTGCCACTTTTTTCCCCTTTTGGGTCTCGGAGTTTAATGTTTGTGTTTCAGGTCAGATGCTGCTTTTAGCACCTGACACCTCTGCCCCTTCGCAGCGCAGGCAGCTGGGAGCAGCACCTGTCCGCGTTACAAAAACAAGTCCAAATCCTTGCAAAGGGAGCTGCAAAGGGGCATCACAACATCCCTCTGCCTCAGATGAGTTACAAGAGCAGTGCAGCAGCACTAGACATCTACTGCCCCTTGTTCAGCCGCTTCTTGTCAGCAGCAGCAGAGCTTCAGAGCTGGCAGAAGTGTAAAACAGCCACAGGTAGCTGTGCTGATTTGGCAACAGAGGTTTCACCTAAATTATACCTATTGGAGTATTAGTTTGGGTTGCTAAAGCTGATTCTGCGCCTTGCACATGAATAAAAACTTAACCAAGTAACATCTGTTTTGGGCTTAGCACTCATTGTTGTGGTTTCATTTTGTTTTCTCACAGCAGCTTCTCTGTGGTGAGACTGGAGAGGAGGGGAAGGAGAGGGTGCAACAGCAATTGAAAATCCAGGTTGCTCTGGGGCCCTGGTGGGGTGAGATGGGATGTGTTGGAGTGTTGGGGCTGTTTGTGTCTCCCTAAAGCTGAAAAACGTGTGCAGCTCCAGCCTTGTGGACTGCACACCTCGTGGGCAGGGCAGGGCCCTGGGGAAGGCCCTGCTGCAGAATAACTGGGGAAGGGGCTGGTGGCTCTGGGGGACTCGCCACTGCTACCTGTCTGGTTGTGCTTAACACAGACCAAACACAACCTCCATCACTGGGCTTAGCAGCGTCATGATCATGGCCCCTTAGTTTAGGAGGCTTCAGTTGTAAGACTCAGTAACTCTTAGTACAGCAAGAAAGTTTGCCTGTGATTATCTCTGAAATACTGACCTTGCCTGCTGGTGTGAAGTGAAATACTCCGTCTCTCCAGAGCACGTTTTCATGAGTCTCTATTTGCAGCCACATTGTATTATACCTTTGGCATCCAAGCTATCAGCCTCTAGCAATGGGGACTCTGCTGCCAGCTCTCTTTCTGTAGACAAGATTGAGCTGCACAAAGTTAGCTTGTGTTTTAGGCCAATCTTGCCTTGCTTCCCCTTTGTCCATATCACTCTCAAAGAACAGAGTGACCATGAGATAACTTACTTGTCTAAATAATGTCATTTGTTTGGTCCTAACCAAGATAAACAAACATATCTAAAGCCTTATCACTCATTTAACAGCAGTGGGGTATTTTTGTTTTCTCTACTGTGCAGCAGACTTAACACTTTGGTACATTTCCTTTATTTCTAAAATACATATATGCTACTCAGACATGAGGTTGCAGTCAGAGTTAGCGATCTGTTATTTATGACAGAGGATTTTAAGGATGGTGGGATATGTCCCTACACCTGGTTGGTCCCTGTGCAAGTAGCTCAGCACTATGACTTCCAGCACAGAGCATAAATGCATCCTAGAAACAAGTAGAAAGTCTGGCAGCGTGTGCAGGGACTGGCCCTCTCTTTGTTCTAATGTATCTCATCTTTCTTAAGATTAACACCACCTGATGGTGGCGAGCTGCTGCTCCACCCTACTTGTCTATCCTAGCTGTATTCTCTCCTCAATCTTTTCCAGGTTTGTCAAATTCTGTAGGTCTGCCTTGCTGCTACTGGTAGACATCAAGCTGACTTGCATGGTAGGTTGAACCTTGTGCTTCTTGACAGCTCAATACAGTCAAGGTGGTGCTGTTTCTCCAAATGCTTTTATTCATGCAATAATTTGACATAATTTGTGTCTACTGGAGAACATGAACTGTAAATTGCTGGTTTTGCTAAAATAGTCCATGCTGGGAAAATAGTTTACTGAGAGTAGTGCCTAAGAGAGCATGTAATTCCGAAATACGAGTTAATACAAATCAGCCCCTGTAGATGTTTTAAAAAGTGAGATAAGAGACTAAATGAGGAGAGGAAATTTTCCTGATAACTCACTCCAGGGCTACCTTCCTTACAAACAATGAACAGAATATGATAGCTAACCTGCAGCTGGCCGTTTGTGTATTGCATGACATTGTGAAACTTCAGAGTTGTCATTCCTAATTTAACATGCATCTACATCTGCGTGTCCAATAGCCACCTCTGTGGGGCTAAACTGAATCTTTTATCTACCTAAGGGCTACTGTGTGGCTACCCTTAGTCTCCCTTGAAGGAAGGACACAGCTGTTGGCCAGGGAGTGGTGAGGTAGCAAAATCATTGCTCATGAGATGCATAATGTCCTGGTGGAAAGCAGCAGTGTGCATCCTAGGTAGCAGTAGCCTGAGGAGATGATGATGGAAGATGAGCAGAGCTGGACAATGAGAAGCTGGGAAGGCTCCTTTAGGCTTAGCCGTGCTGGGATGAAATATAGGGAGGACAAGCACTTTGCTCCAGCACCTTAAGCCCTGCTGGAAGGCACATGAAGGAGGAGAGTGAGGAGATGTGGTGGGACTGGATCCTCAGTGCAGAATTGTAGTGGGCACTTTGCAGTCATCTCTAATTTCTGGTTTAAATTCTCTTACAGACAGAAGGACAGCTCTTCAAGCTTGTATACTGTGAGGAGAGAGCTAGATAATAGGCCCGACTTTCGCCATAGCTGCTGCTGAAAACCCTTTGTGTGCAGCTGGGAGGAGTATGGCCAAACTCCCCCCAAATATGTCTTGCTCTCCTGTCTTTAACAAAGCATTATGGAGGAGAGCTTCAGGCTGCCACGGAGAGCAGCAATTACTTTATCTTTGGGTGTAGCTGTGTGGCTGGAGCTTTCTGTGGATCCTTAAAACTTCTCACTTTATAGTATACATTTACCATTTGTTACAGTTAAGCTCATTGGTAAATGCAGTTCCCTGACAGTGGCAGACACAATTAACTTGAGGAAATATAGTATTGAAATGTGTGCCTTCTGCTAAAAGAAGAAATAGGGAATAAAGAGGAAATGTTGGAGGAAAATATTTTTTCTCTGTTCATGTAGAGGAAAACTTTGTGTTTCCAGCATTGTCACAGGCTGAGAGGGTCGCTTTCCCTAGGGAGAGTCAGCAGTCTGGGGCTCTGATGACTGAAGAGCTAGAGGATGCTGTTCAGAGGCTGAGTGTTGCCTAGCAAGGGCCATCCAGAAAACGGGACTGCTGGGGTAAGATGCTCTTTATTTAAATATAATTTCACTTTGTTGGGGGTCCTCATTTTGTTGGTCAAACCCAAAACCAACAACTTAATTTGCCTGGGGACTTGTTGTGGAGTGGCAAGGGTGAGGTTGCACCAGAACTGTGGTTTGGCTTAGTCCAAACCTGTGACCAAACCTCACCACTCAGCTGCTGTCAGACACGAGTGTCTCCTCACCTCATGGTGTGAAGAAGTTCCTCTGAAGGTGTCTGAGAAACCCTTGTCTGGCTTCTCTGCATACCTGAAGCTTTCATAGTATGAGTTTGGACAGCTTTTCCTTGGCCTAAGTGTCAGCTGCTTCCTAAAATGATGGGATACATGTGCTCTTTTGTCTAGTGCCTTTGAGGACATGAAAGGGTGGCACTGCTCAGACCATGCCTCATGCACACCAACAGGAGCTGGTTCTCAGGCTGAAATGAAGCTGAAAGAAGTAGAAGTGGGGAAGGTGGTTGATTTTTTTCCCAAAGCTTACCCAAATGAGATAGCAGAGTTCTGCTGTATGTGATAGCCTACTGGAAGGGATCCTCACCTGAGCTGCTAGCCAGAGAAGTAGGAGCAGGCAGGCCCATTAATTCCCTTCCCAGCTTCAAGGGGTCCTGAAGACTCCCAGGAGCCACTGGTACTACCAGTTACCCTGGTTTGTTGTCTGAAATGCAAACTTCTGAGCAAGAGAGCTGGGTGGACATGCTGTCCATACAGTCCACACTGCTTGCTGGCTGTTGCAGTCTCAGCATCGTGTGTGTCTTGCTCTCTGTTCTTCCCAGCCCCTGAGATACCTGGTCTATCCCTTGTCCAGGGAGACCATCTACTTGGATACTCACTCCTGGGGGAATGCTGGTGTCATGCTCTGAACTGCATTCATATAGATGTGGCTGAGAGTTAAAAACAAAGAGCTGCTGTTGCTTTCAGGGCTTGCTTTGAGACTTCCTGCAGGAATGGCAGCTGAAAGGCCAGGTTGCTACCAGGAAGTGTAGAGATGTGGTTTGGCCACCCTGTGAGCAGAAGAAGCCACCTAATACTGGCTTGGGTTTGGGTCAATGGAGAACATATATGATAGAAGTGGGAAGCATGGGAATGGGTGAGGGAGGAAGTAAGTGGAGAGCAGTTTTTCCTAACAGTCTCAGACCATCTGCTTGTCTCCTTGGGATGACTGCAGCCTGTGTGCTGCCAGGTGAAGATCTCTGCAAGAGCAGAGTGCTGAGCTCAG